GCATAATTTGAACCAGTCCATTTTGAATCATGGGAAAGAGCCTGATGTAGTGAGGAGATATGGATCACTTACTGATGGATCTTCAAGAATTGTCAGGTAAGCAATGTCTCCTTTTTGATGCATTTCAGAGCCTACCGAGAAGTTTGGGAAACTTTTGATAAAGAAGTAGACACTATTTATTGTGAGGGAATCCATAAAACAATGCTAATGGCTGATGTGATTGAAAATATATATTTCTGGAAATATGTAGGATGTGTGAAAACTTTGTTCAGGATTGGAAAATGAGTTGACTACAACCATCTACATAGACAGGTCTGTGTTGCTTTTTTCTTTCTTTGTAATTAGTTGTTTTCTCAGTAAGCATGATTGTTATTGCGGGAGAGTTGCTGTTCTGTTTTTTCCAATAGTTTCAAAGAAGAGAGACAAATTTATAAGAGTACAAGAGAATGTGATTGTCAGGCATAATTTGAACCAGTCCATTTTGAATCATGGGAAAGAGCCTGATGTAGTGAGGAGATATGGATCACTTACTGATGGATCTTCAAGAATTGTCAGGTAAGCAATGTCTCCTTTTTGATGAATTTCAGAGCCTACCGAGATGTTTTGGAAACAACATTCGACATAGGTGTAGACACTATTCATTGTGAGTGAATCCATAAAACAATGCTAAAGGCCGAAGTCATTGAAAAGATATATTTGTGGAAATTTGTAGAATATGTGGAAACTTGGTTCAGGATTGGAAAATTAGTTGACGACAACCATCTACATAGACAGGTCTGTGTTGCTTTTTTCTTTCTTTGTAATTAGTTGTTTTCTCAGTAAGCATGATTGTTATTGCGGGAGAGTTGCTGTTCTGTTTTTTCCAATAGTTTCAAAGAAGAGAGACAAATTTATAAGAGTACAAGAGAATGTGATTGTCAGGCATAATTTGAACCAGTCCATTTTGAATCATGGGAAAGAGCCTGATGTAGTGAGGAGATATGGATCACTTACTGATGGATCTTCAAGAATTGTCAGGTAAGCAATGTCTCTCTTTTTGATGAATTTCAGAGCCTACCGAGATGTGTGGGAAACACCATTTGATTTAGTAGTAGACACTATTCGTTGTGAGTGAATCCAAAAAACAATGCTAATAGCTGATGTGATTGAAAAGATATGTTTGTGGAAATATGTAGGATATGTGGAAACTTTGTTCAGGATTGGCAAATGACTTGAGGATAATCTTTTACCTAGACAGGTCTGTGTTGCTTTCTTCTTTATTTGTAATTAGTTGTTCTCTCAGTAAGCATGATTGTTATTGTGGGAGAGTTGCTGTTCTGTTTTTTTTCAGTAGTTTCAAAGAAGAGAGAAGAATTTATAAGAGTACAAGAGAATGTGATTGTCAGGCATAATTGGAACCAGTCCATTTTGAATCATGGGAAAGAGCCTGATGCAGTGCGGAGATATAGATCACTTACTGATGGATCTTCAAGAATTGTCAGGTGAGCAATGTCTCTCTTTTTGATTTTTTTGCATTTCAGAGCCTACCAAGAAGTTTGGGAAGTATTTGATATAGGAGTAGACACTATTTATTGTGAGTGAATCTATAAAATAATGCTATTGGCCGTTGTGATTGAAAAGATATATCTGTGGAAACTTGGTTCAGGATTGGAAAATGAGTTGACTACAACCATCTACGTAGACAGGTCTATGTTACTTTCTTCTTTATTTGTAATAAGTTTTTTTTGTCAGTAAGCATGTGTTATTGTGGGAGGGTTGCTGCTCTATTTTTTCCAGTAGTTTCAAGGAAGAGAGAAGAATTTATTAGCGCATAAGAGAATGTAGTTATCAAGTATAATTGGAACCAGACAATTTCAAATAATAGGAAAGATCCTGATGCAGTAAAGAGAAATGGATTACTTGATGGTGGATCTTCAATAATTGTCAGGTAAGCAATGTCTCTCTTATTGATGAATTTCAGAGCCTACCGAGATGTTTTGGAAACAACATTCGACATAGGTGTAGACACTATTTATTGTGAGGGAATCCATAAAACAATGCTAATGGTTGATGTGATTGAAAATATATATATTTCTGGAAATATGTAGGATGTGTGGAAACTTTGTTCAGGATTGGAAAATGAGTTGACTACAACCATCTATGTAGACAGGTCTGTGTTACTTTCTTCTTTATTTGTAATTAGTTTTTTTTGTCAGTAAGCATGTGTTATTGCGGGAGGGTTGCTGCTTTTTTTCCAGTTGTTTCAAAGAAGAGAGAAGAATTTATTAGAGCATAAGAGAATGTAGTTATCAAGTATAATTTGAACCACTCCATTTGAAATAATGGGAAAAATCCTGATGAAGTCAAGAGGAATGGATTACTTGCTGATGGATCTTCAATAATTGTCAGGTAAGCAATGTTTCTCTTTTTGATAAATTTCAGAGCCTACCGAGATGTGTGGGAAACACCATTTGATATAGGAATAGACTCTATGCATTGTAAGCGGATCTATAAAACAATGCTAATGGCTGATGTGATTTAAAAGATATATTTGTGGAAATATGTAGAATATGTGGAAACTTGGTTCAGGATTGGAAAATGAGTTGACGACAACAGTCTACCTAGACAGGTCTGTGTTACTTTCTTCTTTATTTGTAAGGAGTTGTTTTGTCAGTAAGCATGATTGTTATTGGGGGAGGGTTGTTCATCTGTTTTTTTTCTTGTAGTTTCAGACAGAAGAATTTATAAGAGCCTTTCTTGAAAATGAATGATAAGATTAGAAGAGAATGTGATTGTCAGGCATAATTGGAACCTATCCTTTTAGAATGTTGGGAAAGAGCCTGATGCAGTAAGGCAAAATGAATCATTTGCTGGTGGATCTTCAAATATTGTCAGGTGAGCAATGTCTCCTTTTTGATGCATTTCAGAGCCTACCGAGAAGTTTGGGAAACTTTTGATAAAGAAGTAGACACTATTTATTGTGAGGGAATCCATAAAACAATGCTAATGGCTGATGTGATTGAAGAGATATATTTCTGGAAATATGTAGGATATGTGGAAACTTTGTTCAGGATTGGCAAATGACTTGAGGACAATCTTTTAACTAGACAGGTCTGTGTTGCTTTCTTCTTTATTTGTAATTACGTGTTTTCTCAGTAAGCATGATTGTTATTGTGGGAGAGTTGCTGTTCAGTTTTTTCCAATAATTTCAAAGAGAGAAAATTTTATAAGAGTACAAGAGAATGTGATTGTCAGGCATAATTGGAACCAGTCCATTTTGAATCATGGGAAAGAACCTGATGTAGTGCGGAGATATAGATCACTTACTGATGGATCTTCAATAATTGTCAGGTAAGCAATGTCTCTCTTATTTGTGAATTTCAGAGCATACCGAGATGTTTTGGAAACAACATTCGACATAGGTGTAGACACTATTCATTGTGATTTAATCCATAAAACAATGCTAAAGACCGATGTGATTGGAAACATATATTTGTGGAAATATGTAGGAAATGTGGAAACTTGGTTCAGGATTAGAAAATGAGTTGATGACAACCATCTACCTAGACAGGTCTGTGTTCCATTCTTGTTTATTTGTAAGGAGTTGTTTTGTCAGTAAGCACTATTGTTATTTCGGGAGGGTTGTTCCTCTGTTTTTTTCTAGTAGTTTCAAAGACAGAAAAATTTATAAGACCCTTTCTATTCCTGTACTTGAAAATGAATGATAAGATTAGAAGAGAATGTGATTGCCAGGCATAGTTGGAACCTATCCTTTTAGAATTTTGGGAAAGAGCCTGATTCAGTTAGGCAAAATGAATTATTTGCTGGTGGATCTTCAAATATTGTCAGGTGAGCAATGTCTCCTTTTTGATGCATTTCAGAGCCTACCGAGAAGTTTGGGAAACTTTTGATAAAGAAGTAGACACTATTTGTTGTGAGGGAATCCATAAAACAATGCTAATGGGGTTGAAAAGATATATTTCTGGAAATATGTAGGATGTATGGAAACTTGGTTTAGGATCAGAAAATGCCTGGAGGACAACCTTTTACCTAGACAGGTCTGTGTTACTTTCTTCTTGATTTATAATTAGTTGTTTAACACTTACTACTCCTCCAGTAAATATGCTTTAATGGCATCTTTTTTTAGGAAACGCTGTATGGTTTTTGGATTTGGATAGTGAACGTCACTAGCATATAAAAACCTTGAATATGAATTTCTAGGAGACTGCAGAAGTAGCCATTGAGATCACCTTTACACATGTGAAAGGGAATTCTTCTCCACATTCCAAGTATAAATAGATTTTCATATTTCTATCGGAATTGTATACATCTACCAAGGTCCACCCTACTGACTGAAGTGAAAACTGAATCTGAAACTTAAATCTAAGGTGAAATTACCCCTTTTGAATAACAGTAAGAAGCTTAAGAAAACCCAGTTACATGATTCCCTGGTGACTCAGGTGATATGTAAGGTATTACTTCTAAGATAAGATTGTTTAAAATTGTAACATCACAAATTTGCATACTCAGACATTGTCCTGTACTTGCAAACAAGGCTTATTATTATAATTTTTGTTAATCTGTATTTTATTGAGGCCTAAACTTGCAGGGATACAGAATGAAGAGAAGGAGATGATGTGAATAAGTACAAGTAGGGAGTAGTACAGTTCAGTAAATATCAGATAATCGTCTGCCTCTTTTTTATATTGAGTAGACGGGTCAGTGGCATAAACGGTTCTGCTTAGTAATAACATAAACGATAAAATGAAGCTGTCACCACGTTGTTAGCAATATACATAGTGTGACATGGGTGTGTTAGTCGTTACAACTAGGTAAAGCATTTAAACATTTATGTGCTTGAGCGCTCTAGTAGTATTGAAAAGGTAATAAGATTAAGCCAGTTTCTCTCTAGCTAACAACATGCTTAATGGGGTTACGACATGCTAATTGTTTTAACTTGCTAAGACAGTTAAACAATTGTATAGTTATGTGCATACGGTCGGCAGTGGGGGGAAGGGTTTTCACGTAGTAGCTGCTGCATACGGATCTGCGGGGGGTTGTCGGGGAACAAACTCGGGTGCGGCGGCTGCATTCCTTCCCAGGGGGCGCGTGGGTCTGACTGGGTCTGCAGCTGAGGCGAGTGCAGTTGTGGGGAGGTTTAATAGTCCGAGTGCCCCCGTAGCTTCCTGCATGTTATGGACAATGTGAGTGCTGCTTCCTCTGTCTATATGGAGGGTGCGCCTTGATCCCCAGCAGTACCGGAGTTGGTGGAGTCGCAGAAGGGATGTGAATGGGCCCAGAGATCTCCTCCACGCCATCGTCCCTCCTGAGAGGTCTGAAAAGAAGGACAGTGTCATCCCCTCGAAGGTGAGTGTTAACTGGCCTCTGGTGGCCTCCAGGATTGCCTGTTTGTCTCTGTCGGACCGGAACTGGATTATTAGGTCTGCTGTGGCGGCGGGTGGAGCCCTTGCTGGTCGCGGTATGCGGAACTGACTGTCAAGGGCGATTGCTTTGGCTGTTTTCGGGGTCACCAGCGTGGTAAGAAGTCTTCTGACAAGGTGTGGTAGTTCCGCCTCTGGAACTGAGTCAGCGATTCCCGTGATTTTTAAGTTGTTTCGGCGATAATTATCCTCTTGGGAGGCAAGTTGTTGCTCGTGGAGCAGGGTTTGCTGCTTTAGGCTTTGGACCGCCGCTTGCAATTCTGCAATCTGGGTTGTGTGGCTATTGGTGGTGCCATCCACTGCTCCCAGCCTGACTGTGATAAGCTTGAGGTCCTCTCTTAGCAGGGCCACATCTGCCACTATCTTTCTATGGTGGTCTGCCATGAGTTCCCCAATAGTCACTGGGGTGGGGGTTTACACGGGTGGTTGTGCCCGTGCCGACGATTGTACCTGCAGAGTCTGTGGGGGGTTCCCTCCACTTTGTCAGATGTCCCGTCGGAGGGCAGGGCCGCCATCTTAGCTCCGGCTGCATCATGTGCTTGCCGCCATAATGCCCCAATGTCCATGCTCTGGCGGGGTTTGTCAGCCTTCACTTTTTTAGTTTTCTGACCCATTGAGGTTGTGTAGGTCTCAGGGTCTCCCTGGAGCGGGTTTGACTTGTGTCTGATTGCTTGTGTAAGGGGTTTATTGGCTTGTTTGTCGGGAGCCCCGCGGCCATGCGACCGTCTGCTTTGGCTGCTAAGCTCGGCCGGCTTATTATTATTTTTTATTAAGCACTGATAATTCTGCTGTGCTGTACAATAGGTAATCACTGGGTACAGCTTGCAGCATCCTTAAGGAATTTAGCACACAGTTCTATCCAAGTTTGTAGACTTTGCATGTTGAGGAGATATGATTGTGACCAGCAATCTCATGTAAAAGTGATAGTTCTTCTAGCAGGAGTTCATCTAGTAACCCACATATTCACATGTTTTAACATCACCCCAGATCTCCTTCCCAAGGCTCACCCTCTTAGACAATTGAAACTGGACAAAATTGAGGTCATTTATAGTCGACTCAAAGGGATTGTGCATGATTTGGAGATCTACACAATCCTCTTTTGCCCTTACTCACCCCTTCACATTAGCTACATACCTCTGAAAACCGACAAGTCACCATTAAATAATTGATTTGTGTCCCATAATGTTTGTTAACTATATCACTTGTATGATACAAATGTGCTAGCCAAATTAATTTAAAAAAAGACAAACAGCAAACATTTAGTTAGTTAACCCTTTATCAGTGATCAGTTTATCAATAGTTAAAGGTTAATACTGAAATGTTTGCTGTTTATAAATGTCCTTCAATAAAAGTAGGTTGCTATATTGTGTACTTTTCCATCCTCGAAGCACTGTACTTTTGCAGTATCTTCTACGACTACTTATTCAATGTTTTTTGGTTTTTTTAAGGGAACTGCAGTATCCTACCCTCATTATTTCTGGTGTGGCCACAATAGATTACTGTGCATATGGATATCTAAAATCAAAACCGATTGTCTCATCAACCCGAGATTAAGTCAAGGAGGCAGGTCCGGCAGTGCAGAGACTGGCATGGCGAGGGCTAGAAACGTATTTTTAACCCTGACGGAGGTTGTATTCCTAGTGTTCCATTAACAACAGTTGCTGTTCTCCGGTATGTGAAATAATTCACCTTGATATAATCAGGCATATCCCATATGTCTCTTCTGACCTTTCCTACAAATTCTTTACAGTCTGTTTCCTGGCATATAAATTTTCTCTTGCCGTGCTTAAACAGGGATAAGAATCGACTTAACCGTACTTTGTAGTAATAGTGTGTGCTGGCTACTGGTGTTTATGTGCTGTTGAGAAGGGAAAGGGACTGTAGGTGGGCCTGACATGGGATCTGTTTCATTGAAAATAGTTGTATACATGTTGTGGAGTTCAATGAGACCGCTACTTGCCTGAGCTGAAATGAAATAGTTACTGTTCGTAAAGGGACACTCCAGACCCCTAAAGCACTTTGCTAAAGTGCTTTATACATGAAGACCGTGTCTTCATTTTTTCTAATCTTACAAAAAGTGCAGAACTTGGCACTTTCATAAATGAACCTTGATACATCACCCTGGCTGTCAATTCGACAACTAGTCTACTTTTTCTTTGTTTGATTAGCTCAATAGAGCTAAATTTAAGAGGCAGACAATTGCCCAAAGTACCTGCCTTGCACAGACTCCTCATTTAGCTTCATTTGGGTAGTCTGTGATTGGACAGCCACATAAAGTCTGGGTGGGGTCAGGGAGGGAGTGCTTGTTAAGTCTTTAGGCAAGAGTGCTTTCTTAGATAAACCCTAATGCAAAAATGCATAATTAAATGCTTGCATGTTTTCATTCGGAATATGTTTGCTAAACAGGGATTTTTGGGGGAGTTTAGTACATTATACATTAGTATATTGCATAAGCCTGCCACCACATCAATGTACCCCATTCTTGGTAGGCCCTACTCTAGCAACCTTATGCCTGCTCCTATGAGATTAATCAATTTATTTGTGAAACACTTCCCCCTGGGATGCTCTGCAGGGCAAGGTTAAATAGGCATCTGTGACTCTTTTTACATAGATATTTTACATAGATATGTAAATTAGATTACATTTGGATCTTGTAATACCTTTTTTATTGGACAAAGAGAATTTTGGAATGACAAGCTTTCGGGAAATCCTTCCTTTCTCAAGTCTATAGCATTTCTGAACAAGTCTACACATAGAATTCAAACTTGAGATCTATGTAATCACATTTAAGAACCTGCACGATATTAAGCAGGTGGTTTTAATGCTGTGGCTGATCAGTGTATATAGTGTTGGAGATTGTAGCCATATTTATTTATTGATACAGATGTAAAATAACAAATTAAATCATTATCTTGTAAACCTTTTGATTGGACTAACATAATCTGGGGAATTTGGAGGCCAAGGCAACACCTTGAATTCTGTCAGGACAGTAATGGAAACCACGACAGGGCAAAGAGTAGATACTGAAATGGGTTTATATAGCCCATTCCTAACTGTCATTGGTGGGCAGGGATCAGCTGATTCCAGGTGTACGTGCACGCCGATTAAGTCAAGCTTGACAAAGACCCTTTCAGGGGTCAAAACGTTGCGATGTCTCATTTGTCCTAATAATTACATTTAAAGATACTTGGGGCGCCTGGATCCTCTTTCTACCACTGATATCTACTCTCTGGGGCTGGTGCTGGCCCTTGGTCCAGTTTAGCACCCGGATCTTGATGTGATTACAGTGCGGTTTGTTTTTTTCTCTTTTTCTTTTTCTTTTTGCAAAAATTGTTTATTTAGACATATTCTCAATGGTATTTCTGTTATTTGTTTGGCTATTTTGGCCTGAAATTTGGAATTCACATTGAATTCCATGCAATTCTCACAGATCACAAGGCACTGGGGAGCATCCTTAGTAGACAAAGAGTTTTCATCTACACTGAAAGAGTTACCATACATCATAAAGGAACAGACATGCTTTATGAAATATAAATAACCTGCCTATTTTAAAAAGGTTGTCAGCGGGTTTTTAGGCCACGATATGTTTATTATTGCCATTTATATAGCGCCAACAGATTCCTTGGTGCTTTACAATATTTTGAGAGGGGGTTTTACCTATAAATAGGACAACTACAAGAAAACTTACAGGAACTATAGTTTGAAAAGGACCCTGCTCAAACGAGCTTACAGTCAATAGGAGGTGGGGTATATAACACATAATGCCTAAATGTTTGGGAAATCTTGATAACAACAATTTTCTTAACCAGCAGTAGTTGAACATTAAATAAATAATAAATTAAATAAGTGTATTGTTTTTCTTCTGAATCATCTGTGTTTTGTTTTAAACAGATGTCGTCAAAAGCCAAATAAAGTCTTCATTAGTAATCTATGAGACAATCAAACTTCAAAGTAAGGCTTGATTATATTAGTATTTGATATGTGGGTTACCATAATTTCATAATTTCTGTATGTTTGTGTTATTGAATATATTTTAAAGGAACAAAATAGCATTGTATGTATTCATAATGCTATAGTGTTTCCCTCTCTGTACATGGAGGTGTCAACTCCCTGCCCTGCAAGAGATTAAAAAAAATGGTCTCCATGCTGCCACTCCACCTCCATGACCGAGATCATCAAGATTGATGCTCTCAAACAATCCAATGCTTCCCAATAGGGACACATGCTACAGCGCATGAGCTGCAAAATGCTGCATCAATCAAACGAGTCATTTAATCTGCAACAAAGTCTAACTCAGTTATAGATATGGAAGCAACTCTAGTGGTTGTCAGTAAGGAAGACAGCCACTAGAGGCGTCTAAATCCTGCAATGAAAACATTGTGCCATTCTTGCAAAATGGCAATGCTTTCAGTTGCAGGATTAAAAAGACAGGGGCACTGCACCCAGACCACTTAATTTCGATTTAGGTTGTCTGGGTGCCTATAGAGTTATTTGCATATATATTATGTCTGTTCTTCCTAAATGGGTGTACCTTTGTTGCGTTAAACCCATCATGGTATGAGAATGATAAACACGTATTAATACACAAAATATTTCTGTTCCTTTGTAGGTCAGTTGGCTGCTTTCAGCTGATTATAGTTCTTTTTTTGTTTTTTTTCTTTTTCATTTATTCAGTATATAGTATTACAGAGGCACTTAAAGCAATGTATATCCTATTAAAGGACCACTATAGTGCCAGGATTGTGTCAACTTTAAGAAGTATCACTATGGTAAAATCTAATTATGCCTTAAAGGATCACTGTAGTGTCAGGAAAACAAACCCACTCCCGTAGCGCTGAAGAAGGAGGAAGGGGTTAATCCCTTACCTTTTTTCCAGCGCCAGGCTCCCTCGGCGCTGGGACTCTCCTCCCTCTTCTGATGTCATCAACTGAATGCGCATGTGCGGCAAGAGCTGTGCTCGCATTCAGCTAGTCTCATAGGAAAGCATTCTCAATGCTTTCCTATGGACGCTGGCTTCTTCTCACTGTGAAAATCACAGTGAGAAGCGCGGAAGTGCTTCTAGCGGCTGTCAATGAGACAGCCACTAGAGGCTGGATTAACCCATAGGTAAACATAGCAGTTTCTCTGAAACTGCTATGTTTACAGCAGGCAGGGTTAACCCTAGATGGACCTGGCACCCAGACCACTTCATTAAGCTGGTCTGGGTGCCTATAGTAGTCCTTTAAATGTCTTGGATTCCTCCCTTTTGTTTTTTGTTGTATTTTTTTTTTTTTTTAAATGCAGTCTAACCTAGTCCTATCTTCAAATTGTTGCATTTTACAATATGATTGAATTGATGATGTCTACAACTCGAGAATAAATATCAGAGTATCTGACCTTCCATTTTTTTTTAATGTGTGAAATATTTTATTAGAATGATTTGTTTTATGTATAATTAACAGTGTGGTTATTCTAATTATTCTTGATTTGGTTTATGTAGTCAGTCAGTTCTGATTGCATATGTTTTGTTGCCAGGCTTTGGAGATCCTTATGCTTAAGGATTTGAGACAATGGCTTCAAACACAGCCAGAAGCATATACACACACAGAGGGAACCGAGTCAAGACATACGAGGTGAAAAAGAAGATGCTAAACTTTAATGCTGATTGAAAAAGGCACGATTATGGCTCAGGATTAAGCAATAAAGCTTTTGTTTCTTTCATCAGACGTTTCTTGGTATTTGCTTTCTACATCTAAATGTGTTTTGAGAACATTTATGAACCTCTGTTTTGATATTTTGACTAAATAAAGAAATTAAACTTGAGCTTGTTGGTCATTTGTAATTTAATTATAAGTTTGGCAAAGAATGGAAACAACTAAGTTACAATTACGAAGGAAAAAAAAAAGATTAAAACAATGGTTTCATGTTAAAGGGGGTTTGCTTTTCAAGAAAACAAAATGGCACTATGAGAGACAATAACAGAAAATAAACTGGGCTTTATACTGCTTATGTTTGTATAGTTACATAGCTGAAAAGAGACTTGCGTCCATCAAGTTCAGCCTTCACATATGTTTTTGCTGTTGATTTAAGAGATGGCAAAAAACCTAGTCTGAAGCGCTTCCAATTTTGTAACAAACTAGGAAAAAAATCCTTTTTGACCCCAATGTAGCAGTCAGATGTCTCCTTGCATCAAGCAGCTATTACCCCACTAATTAGAAATTATAACCCTGTATGTTATGTTTTTGCAAGTATTAATACAATTGCAGTTTAAACATCTGTATGGACTCTGATAAAACCACCTCTTCAGGCAGTTAATTCCATATCCTTATTGCTCTTACTGTAAAAAAATAAATATTTTCTTTGCCTTAGATGAAATCTCCTTTCTTCCAGCCTAAATGTGTGACCTTGTGCCCTGTTTATGAATAGATTTCCAGATAATGATTTGTACTGGCCCCGAATATATTTGTATATTGTTATTATATCCCCTCTGAGGCGTCGTTTTTCCAAACTAAAGAGATTTACATTTTTTAACCTTTCTTCGTGTCAGGATTACTGTTTGATCCAGCACGTAGAACTGTACAGCACGGATGACAAATAAATAACGTATTACCGGTCCTTAGAATGGCCGGATTTAACGTACAAAGAATAGTCAAAAATACTAGCCGAGGTCAGGGAACACAGAAAGGGACACAGCGATGAGGAAAGCCAGGAGTCAGGATACCAGAATATAGAGAAGTCAATAAACAAAGCCAAAGTCAAAAACCAGGTAGAAAACTATAAACAGGAACGCGCTCTCGGACAACCACAAGGGAAACCACGACAGGGCACTGAGCAGGCTGAGAACTGGGCCTAAATACCCCTCCTTTCTTTCTGATAGGCTGTAACCGGCCTTTGACCCCAAAGTCAGTTACTAGGTTTCATTTGCATAATTGCTGCTCAGCATTAAACCTTCTGTGGATTAGGTTGCTGCTCGGCACAACTTTTCCTGTGTGGACAGTAAATGTCATTAACCACATTTCTATAAGCGGATGAATACGTGACATTAACCCCCACCTGAAGAACGCCCACCGGGCGGACAGGACCAGGCTTGAGAGGAAATTTAGCGTGAAAAGCGCGGATCTTACGGCCCGCATGCAGGTCAGGAGCCGAAACCCAAGAACGATCAGCAGGACCGTAACCTTTCCAAACAACCAAGTACTGTAAAGTGCCCCGAGAAAACCTAGAATCCACGATAGAAGATACCTCATACTCTTCCTGACCACCCACCACCACCGGAGGGGGAGGAACACAAGGAACAGTATATCTATTGCAGACAAGAGGTTTGAGTAAGGACACATGAAAAGTGTTGGGAATCCCTAAAGATGCAGGAAGAGCCAGAGAGTAAGACACTGGATTGATCCTACGAAGCACTCTATAGGGACCAAGGAATCTGGGGGCAAACTTCATGCTAGGGACCTTAAGCTTGATGTTGCGAGATGACAACCAAACCCGGTCCCCCACTTGGTACACCGGGTTGGCACTCCTACGCTTATCAGCAAAATGTTTGAAGCGTTCAGCAGCAGCCCCTAGAGCAGTTTGAACCTTAACCCAGGTATCCCGAATGGAGGCCAGACGCTCATCCAGAGCAGGAATGGCAGTATCAGAAAATACCGCAGGGAGAACCGTAGGATGCCTACCATTATTGACAAAAAATGGACTGTGCCCAGAGGAGTCATGAACAGCATTGTTTCTAGCGAACTCGGCCCACGGGAGTAGTTCGGACCAATTGTCTTGTGTGCTATTAATAAAACAACGCAAATAAACTTCTAATGACTGGTTAGCCCTCTCAGCTGTACCATTGGTCTGTGGATGGTAGGAGGAGGAGAAGGAGAGATCAATCCCCAATTGTTTACTGAACGCCCTCCAGAACCTGGACACAAACTGAGAGCCCCTATCGGACACAATATTGTGGGGGATGCCATGCAAACGGACAATTTCACGTATGAAAATTAGGACCAAATCTTGCGAAGATGGCAACTTCTTGAGAGGAATGAAGTGAGCCATCTTAGAAAATCGGTCTACAACCATGAGAATAGTAGTGAACCCAGCAGAGCTAGGAAGCTCAACAATAAAGTCCATGGATAAGTGGGACCATGGAATCTCAGGAACAGGAAGAGGCTGCAACAGGCCACAAGGAAGTGCATGAGTCACCTTAGAAACTGCACACACAGAACATGCCTGCACATACTCCTTTACATCTTTCCTGAGTGAATCCCACCAAAATGATCTAGTGATCGCGGCAGTGGACTTATTGATGCCCGGGTGTCCAGCAGTTATATTGTCATGGAACACTTTCATGATATTAACCCTTTCACATAGGGGAACGAACAGTTTATCACACGGTTTACCACTGGGCGCCTGAGGCTGGGCCTCCAGTATGGTGCTAAGCAGTGGAGAAGACAGTGAGAGGACAGTAGTAGCAATAATACACTCTGGTGGAATAATAGGAGATGTCACCTGTTCCGGAGCTGACTCATTATCAAATTGCCTGGACAAGGCATCAGCCTTGGTATTTTTAGAACCAGGTCTATAAGTAATGAGAAAGTTAAAACGTGAAAGGAATAGTGACCATCTAGCCTGTCTGGAAGACAAACGTTTGGCATCCCCTATATATGCCAGATTTTTGTGGTCGGTTATGATCAACAGGGGGTCCTTGGAACCCTCCAAAAGATGTCGCCACTCCTTGAGGGCAAGAATAATGGCCAACAGTTCTCTATTGCCAATATCATAGTTGTGCTCAGCAGGAGACATCTTTCTGGAGAAGTAGCCACAAGGATGCAATGGTGTTCCCTGGCTTTCTCTCTGAGAGAGAACAGCCCCTACCCCTGTCTCGGATGCATCAACCTCCAATATAAAAGGTTTACTGGTGTCAGGATGTTTTAGTATGTCCGCAGAGGCAAATCTTTGTTTAAGAGTCTCAAAAGCATTCACAGCCTCTTTGGACCATACCGTGCTACTAACCCCTTTGCGAGTCATATTTGTGATTGGGGCTATTACAGAAGAAAATTCCTTGATGAATCTTCTGTAATAGTTGGCAAAACCAATAAACCTTTGAATGGCTTTTAAACCAGAGGGTAATGGCCAGTGTAGTACAGCCTCTAGTTTTTTAGGATCCATTTGAAATCCCGATGCAGAGATGTTGTAACCCAAAAAGTGGACTTCAGGCTGGTCAAATATGCACTTTTCTAATTTGCAATAAAGTTTATTTTTCAACAACGTCTACAGAACCTGTTTCACATGGGAGTGGTGAGTCTGAAGATCAGGGGAATACACCAAAATATCGTCCAAATAAACCAAGACAAATGAGTAAATGAATTCCCTGAGTACATCATTTATAAAGTCTTGGAATACGGCCGGGGCGTTGCATAACCCAAATGGCATTACCAGATAGTCATAGTGTCCACTACGGGTATTAAATGCCGTCTTCCCCTCATGATTCTCTTTAATTCTAACCAAATTGTAAGCGCTCCTAAGGTCAAGCTTAGTAAATACTTTAGCTCCCTGAAGTCTATCGAACAATTCGGAAATGAGTGGGATAGGGTATGCATTTTTTACAGTGATTTTATTAAGTGCCCTGTAGTCTATGCAAGGGCGTAACTCACCACCCTTTTCTCAACAAAAAAGAATCCTGCACCAGCTGGTGAGGATGACTTTCTTATGTGCCCTTTGCTCAAGGATTCTTTGATGTATTCCTCCATTATTTTACTCTCCTGGGGAGATAAGGCATAAACTGCCCCCTTAGGTGGCATAGCGCCTGGAAACAGGTTAATGGCACAGTCATATGCTCTGTGGGGAGGCAATACATCAGATTGAGCCTTGTTAAACACCTCCTGAAGTTCTCGGTATTGTATGGGAACTCCAGGAGTTTGGGGAGTGGTAGTGGGAAGGTCAATCCAATCTCTTTAGTAATGGTTTTATACATCTCCCCATACACTCTTTACCCCATTCTAATATCTCCCCATTAGCCCAGTCAATATAGGGATTGTGCTTACTCAGCCACGGAAACCCTAATATGATAGGGCATGATGGAGAAGTAATAACCTGAAACGTCATCTCCTCCCTATGGGAGGCCCCAATGGAGATCGTAATAGGGACAGTTTCGTGGGTTATAAGCGGTTGTGTGAGTGGTCTACCATCAATAGCCTCTACAGCTAGCGGCGTAGGTCTCTCCCTGACCGGTATCTCATTACCCCTAATAAACTGGACATCAATAAAATTTCCAGCAGCACCTGAGTCCATTAGGGCACTGCAAGAAAACTTCTTGTTATCAAGAGAAATAGATACCTCAAGGAGGAATCTACTTTTGTTTTTTTTTAGAGGACAACTCCATCACACCTAAGATCTGTCCCCTTAAGGTTCTTAGGTGCGGAAGTTTTCCGGACGCACTGGACAATTAGTTATCATATGTCCCTTTCTACCGCAATATAGGCATAGCCCCTCCCTTCTCCTATACTGTTTTTCGGCCTCTGACAGTCTAGTGACCCCCAACTGCATAGGTTCGGGTTCGGACTATACAGGGAGGTTAGACAAAACAGGTTTAGAGAATTGAGGTGCTAGGGACAT